AGCGGAAGAAATACCTAGGAGGAAATTGCATGGAATAAAGGGATTCAAGACTAGGAAAGATAGACCCTATACTGTGTTTAATTAACGAGATCCCTTAAACCTATTAAATACATTTTTACTTAAATTAGAACATTTTTATTTATTTTATTTTATTTTTTATGTACTATTACATTTAGTATTTACTGATACATGCATTTGGATTGACGTCTGACATGGAAAACGCATATTTTTAACAAAACAAAATCCCTTGAAATTTAATACCGTAGTATGTTTAGGTTATTGAATAAAAGATCTTCAATATCCCTATAAAATAAAATGCTTTTATATAAAATTGTGCTTAAACCAGTATTTAACTACGGGGAACAGCCTCAACACCCAACATCGATGTTCTTCAAAGATTCCAGTCTAAAATCCTAAGAGAAATAGTAAGCGCTCTGTAGTATGTAGCTAACATCCAAATTCATCAAGACCTAAGGATAATTCCGGTAAAAGATGAAGTAAAAAAGGTAGCTAGAGAAAATATCATAAATTAATACAAATTCATCACAACAATCTTACTTCGAATTTGATATCACTATAATCTATTTAATATGGACTATCATAAACTATTATGATCCATTAAACCAGTTATATACATTTTTATGGACATTAAGACTATTCAGATATGTTCAATATAATCTATTTATCGCTATAATTTGTTTATCTATCGCTATAAAAAAATAAGTCAATTTTCTATAATACTATAATATATTAGTAGGATTCATTAAACCCGTTAAATTTAAAATTTAAAACTTAAATAAGAGTTATATTAATTAAATGTTATAATATACAAGCATGAACTATTAAGCTTGCTAAATACATTTTTCTTATACTAGGGTTAATCAGACGCGTGTTCGGTATAATCCATCTAACTATATAAATAATATGTTAATTTTTTAAATTGTTGACATAAACTGACGTGATCCATTAAGCCTGTTAAATACAGATCTACTTATATCAGGGCTATTCAAACGTTCTTGGTAATCGGTAACTAGGTAAAGTGATAATAAGCAACGACTGAATATTCTTATTATATTTTGAAACTTTTAAATAATATTTATTGAATATTATAATTTATTGTAGTATAATTTATTATCGTCTTAATGCTAGATATAAGATGTTTAGTCTCTTACTTCTTCGTACATTATCAGTTAGAACATATTTATATTTGAAGACATATAATCTTTGAAGATATTTCGTACTATAATTTCAAATCAGCTCTTATATGTAAGAGCCATCTAACTCTTTGTGAATATAATTATCATCCACAAACCAGAGAGCCCACATAATTAATCTAAAAGTTTTGAATAGAAATTGTTACAGTATTTCTATATTAGAGTTATAGTGAATTTCAGTAAAGAAGGACAGTGACGTAATAACAAAATAGATTATAAAACCGGTTTCAACTGTTTATTAGTATTTAATTGGTTGTTACTACAACATCATAAGAAAGTATTGAATGCACAATAGCTTTGTACCGGGACCAATCGTTTATTTTTTCCAAAAAACTTTTTACAGGAGTAGTTAGCTAAGCTAACCCTCTTTGTACATTTACATATATGGGAACTTTAAATAACTCTTTCCTATAGTTCAGAAGTAATAGCAAAGTTGTTGCTCACATTAATACCGTTTTGCTGAAGTCGAAATGCTCTAGGTTAAGGGAACTTCATTTACCAGACTAAATTCATATTATTAGAATCGACCTAAGCGTTATCGTTTCTAAGAAGTGACACAAGAGGAATAATTATTAATGATTGATATAAGAATGCACTTATGTTGGGAGAGAAGAGTATTCAGTTCAGCAGGAGTTATGCTCCCATGCTCAGCGATATAAAGACTTAAGAAGAAATAGAAAAAGATGGAGTTAAATTTTGATCAATAGCTGCCTAAAAATTAAAGAAATTAACTTTATTAAATTAACTTATTAAATTATTATTAACTTTATTAAATTAACTTATTAAATTATCAACATGCCAATTGAATAACTTTAGGTTGGAAGAGGTACTAATATTATTTCAAACATAGAGCTTTTGAATGCAATACAACATATCAATACAATTGATATTGTATATGTTATATACACAAATAAGGCCAAGATCAAGATGGGACTTTGAGAATTTGATTTCTTTTGCTTCAAATGAAGTAAGAATTGTATGAAGTGCTGGACTAACAGGAGTAGACTTATAAATCTTATCAGTATCAGAAGTAAAATTTGGTGTAGAAAATTTCGGTGTAGGAATGTGAGTGTGTAAAAATAAAACATAGCTAGACAAATGTGTTTTGGTCACCCGAATCCTTACCAATAGTCCACACAAAAAGTCTCTTCCAAGAAAGGTATATATGCTGGGGATGTATGATTTATAAAAATATGGTTTTACAATAATTCGATAATTCGATACAATAAATCCATTTACAATAAGAAGTAATCTATTATTTATAAACAGAACTTCTTTATGTCGCACGTAAACTGCTCATCTCATACAAAATATTCGCCTTCACTTATAAGTTTAGGTACTCACATGTTTAGGTACTTCAAATGTTAGTTGTGGATATTCCACTGATGAATATCCCACCGGTTTAACTTCTTTCGCATTATTTGGTATTCTTTAACTTAGTATTCGGATAACATCTCCGATTTTTTTCAATTTTTATTATACTTAATATTAAATATTGCGAATTTTACATTCCATATTTTAACACGTTCCTTATGGTTAGCCAACGGGATTATAGAGTTATGTGATATTATGTCAGCCTGTTTCAAACCAACGTTTGTCACGTTTGTCTTACCTGTTGACAATAAGAATAGCAATAAAAAAATTCTTTTAGTAACTGGTTGATGTTTTTTACAGTTAATTTTTGAAAACTACTATTACTATATCTTCAAATAGTTTTTGTTAGAATTTAGAACCTATATACCTATATAAGTATATATACATATATATCCTTTTAATAATACTACCAAAGCAACAACAATTCATGACTAGTGCTATCAATAATTTTGTGCTTTAGGTATGTTTGCTCAGTTTTATTCTATCAACATTTTCAGTGTTATTTGCGAGCATAACACTGCAACTTAACTGCACTAAATCGATGCTTCTAAGGCATTCACACTGTTTTGAGGAATAGTTACTTTGTATACGATTGTATTTCAGTTATCGTGAATATAGTATTTGACAACTCCAATGAGTACTTTTACACGAAATTTAGAGATAAATAATATACCATATAAGAACACAATATTGGCAGTGAAGTAATATATTCTCATTATGTGTGTTGTGTTCTTAGTCGTACCACATTTGTTGAAATTACATTTTACCACCCAAAATTCAATTATGTTATTCATAAAATTCCCGATATACATGATCAAGAAATAGTTATTGATCAACCAAAGAAAGACCTGTAGCGTTCTAAAGCAGATATTAGCTATTTCATTATATATGTGGGTGATTGAAAGTATTACCAGTTTAATTTAGGTATTTGTTTTTGATATTACCTTAGGCTGTAGGCTGTCGACAACTGTACCTATTATATTAGAAAACTTTTAACTATATGAAGCGAAAACTATAATTACAATAGTCGATAAAAATTCAGTACAGCGCTAAATGAAGTCGTCAAATCTGACAAGCTAATTTTGATATACTAGCAAATATTAGTTCTTTCATTTTTAGTAAAAAGGACTAAGTCAGCTTTAAAATTCTAAACACCAAATAAAGGAAAACATATTGCATATACATATCTATATATTAATAGATATATACATTAATATACATAATCGATCGAAATGTATATTGGGTACATTTCGCACAGGTACAGTTTACCACTAACCTTCCCCCGCTCATCTGCTCTAACCCTACCCCTTTCTTTATAACCCAATTTCCCTACTGTATGCCCTTGCTTTCTGGCTTAGATAAATCTAACTCGCTAGGTATTAAGTCTATTTTTTTTCCTCTCTTCCCTGATTACTGGAATGAAGTTTTCACAATGCTGTGGAAATCTTCTCCATTCATTCCTAAGAGGTGGTTTAGTGAGTTCAAGTCTCACACGGTGGCATTCGATGCTTCCACCTACTGTCAAAAAAAAAAAAAAGCTCTATCTCAACAAAATGGACCTTTCAGAGATCTATAATTACTTATTTCATGAAGTGAAAAATCTGATCACATTCTCCATAAATTACTAAGGTGCTCAACTTCATAAAAGCCTAAAAGTCGATTCAAACAATAGGGATAAACACAATATACCACGGGGAGGATGGGAATGTCTACGCACTGAATACGATTCGGCGCCCTGGAAGTAAGTGCCTGACTCTCCTGGGATTACGTTAGTATTACTTCGAGGTAAGATCTCTGTGAGTCATTTAACACTTCCATCGTGTGACCTGCGTCCAGGCCCCACTGTTGCTTCATGTAACTGTCTTTGTATTTCGACCATTTTTTAGATTGAGGAATAAGAAATAGTCACAAGATGAATATGATAAACGGTGAAATAGTGTTAAGAAAGTCATGAAATTTGGCAGTTGCAATTAAATACTAAGGCTCAATTTATTTTAAAAGAAAAGCGATTTTTTTAACCAAATAGAAAGTTTTTCCTTTCAAATAGTACAGAACAACTTCGACTTCATAGTTATAATACCATTTATTAGAAAGCAATACCATTTATTAGACCGCACTATAAAACGGTTTTTTATAGTGAGGTCATCTAATAACAGTTATATGATGATGCTTCATGATCTACTTAAAAAAATTTGATAACATTTAAAGAAATTAAGTCTGAAACTGGCATAATTAATTATATTTAACATAAGAAAATTATAATTTCTTGCTAACAATTTTATTTATAATAAGAACAAATATTTGTTGTTAAATTTTTTATTATTCACAACTTCAGTCAAAAATAAAAGAAATGGAGTTTAATGTAATACGTGATATTAACTGAACTTTTCATAAAATATATAAAAATATATTTTACTCATCGATTTGATCTCCATTTTCTTCTGGAGGCTCGTCTGGAATTCCCTCCTCAAATTGTGGTTCCTGATTGCTCATGCTTCCACGTACTGTATCCAAATAATCACGAAATAAATCGTATGTCCTGCGCATATTGTACATTGCCTGTTGCAATTGAAAAATCCTGGATATTAGAGAAGCTAGTATCACATATCTATTAAACTGTTGCCTGGTATTCAATTTATTCACAAAACGTCCACCTTGTCTACCGTTGCGTGTATTTCTTCTGCGATAGCTGTAGTTATTATCGATATAACTATTGTGCTGCTGATATTCGCCATCGCTCATATTAATACTGCTGCTTTCAGCTTGCTGCTGATATTCGCCACCGCCCATATTAATACTGTTGTCTCTAGCTTGCTGCTGATCCCCATTATCCAGAGTTTCATTGTGACCTCCAGCTTGCTGCTGATATTCGTGATTTATGTTTTCACTCCTTCTTCCAGTTTGCTGCTGATATTCGCCATCGCCCATATTAATGCTTCTGCCTCCAGATTGCTGGTGATATTCGCCATCGTCCACATTAACCCCTCCAGTCTGCTGTTGATATTCGTTATCGCCCACATTAATACCACCAGCTTGCTGCTGATATTCGCCATCATCTACATTTATACCTCCAGATTGTTGTTTATGTTCGCCATTGCCCACATTAATACCTCCACCTTGTTGCTGATATTCGCCATCGTCCACATTAACCCCTCCGGTCTGCTGTTGATATTCGTTATCGCCCACATTAATACCACCAGCTTGCTGCTGATATTCGCTATCATCCACATTAATACCTCCAGCTTTTTGTTGATATTCGCCATTGCTCACATTAATACCTCCACCTTGTTGTTGATATTCGCCATCGTCCACATTAATACCACCAGCTTGCTGCTGATATTCGCCATCATCTACATTAATACCTCCAGATTGTTGTTTATGTTCGCCATTGCCCACATTAATACCATCAGTTTGCTGGTGATATAAGCCATAGTCCACATTAACACCTCCATCTTGCTGCTGATATTCGCCATCGTCCACATTAACACCTCCAGCTTGCTGCTGATATTTGCCATCGTCCACATTAACAGCTCCATCTTGTTGCTGATATTCGCCATCACTCACATTAATACCTCCAGCTTGCTGCTGATATTTGCCATCGTCCACATTAACAGCTCCATCTTGTTGCTGATATTCGCCATCGCTCATATTAATACTGCTGCTTTCAGCTTGCTGCTGATATTCGCCACCGCCCATATTAATACTGTTGTCTCTAGCTTGCTGCTGATCCCCATTATCCAGAGTTTCATTGTGACCTCCAGCTTGCTGCTGATATTCGTGATTTATGTTTTCACTCCTTCTTCCAGTTTGCTGCTGATATTCGCCATCGCCCATATTAATGCTTCTGCCTCCAGATTGCTGGTGATATTCGCCATCGTCCACATTAACCCCTCCAGTCTGCTGTTGATATTCGTTATCGTCCACATTAATACCACCAGCTTGCTGCTGATATTCGCCATCATCTACATTAACACCTCCAGCTTGCTGCTGATATTTGCCATTGCTTACATTAATACCTCCACCGTGCTGCTGATATTCGCCATCGTCCACATTAACAGCTCCATCTTGTTGCTGATATTCGCCATCACTCACATTAATACCTCCAGATTGTGGTTGATATTCGCCATCGTACACATTAATGCCACCAGCTTGCTGTTGATATTCGCCATCATCTACATTAATACCTCCAGATTGTTGTTTATGTTCGCCATTGCCCACATTAATACCACCAGTTTGCTGCTGATATATGCCATAGTCCACATTAACACCTTCATCTTGCTGCTGATATTCGCCATTATCTACATTAATACCTCCAGATTGTTGTTGATATTCGCCATCGTCCACATTAATACCACCAGCTTGCTGCTGATATTCGCCATCGTCCACATTAACACCTCCAGCTTGCTGCTGATATTTGCCATTGCTTACATTAATACCTCCACCTTGCTGCTGATATTCGTCATCATCCACATTAACAGCTCCATCTTGCTGCTGATATTCGCCATCGTCCACATTAACACCACCAGCTTGCTGCTGATATTTGCCATTGCCTACATTAATACCTCCAGCTTGCTGCTGATATTCGTCATCGCCCACATTAACACTTCCAGCTTGCTGTTGATATTCGCCATTACCCAGGTTTCCATTGCGTTCTCCAGCTTGCTGTTGATATTCGCTATTACCCAGATATTCATTGCGGTCTACAAGCCCATTCCTATCACTGTTAGGACCATGGTCATGAAAGTTATTGGAAGCGCTAGACATAATATACTCAATATTACTGTTTGAAAATATATATATATATTTTTTTTTTCAGTATAGCAAACACCACAACGATTAAAATTTTTTTAAAAAAAATATTCTGAATGAAAAAATACATGTAAAATTTCTGAAAACTGAATTTTGTATTACCTACTCAGTTAATTTTTTTTTTTTAGTTGAACATTTTTTAAAAAAATATGAAGATAAATGTTCTCTTCTTTCTTTGGTACGAATATATAATTTCTTTAAATTTGTTATATTATAGTTATAACATAATTAATTATAATATAGTTATTATTATGTTATTATAACATAATAACATATGTAATTATATATATATATATATATATAATGATTTATATGTAAGATTTAAATTTTTTCAATCCTATAAGCTCAAACAGCTTATAATATATAGATGTCCACCGGTAACAACTTTGAAAGTTTAAAACAAACCTTTCTAGTTTGTTTTATGGAACACAAAAAAGGATCAGGTTAATGAGCGAGCTATTATTCTGGAGATATATAGCACTTTAGCTCTAATGCACTAATTGACCTAAGATGATGTAACTGATGTTTTGCTAATGGTTATTTATCCCGTGGTATATGCCGGATATCATAAGTGGTATACGCGTTTGTATATAAATGATGAGCAAAACATTATCCAATCGGAAATTCTGACCATCACCGATTTCATCAAAACAGTTTGAGAATTTATCACAGATTAGCTAACACCGAGCTTATCAGAAACAACAATTTATTGTGTTTTAATATTATTATTTAAGTAATAGGCTATTAAAGCACCCCGACCTAAAAGATCTATTGTGCGCCTAAAGGCCCAACTAGGACAATTTTCGACTATTTATAAATCTTGTAATTGCTGAGGGCTTAATTTTACCTATTTGACTTGGGACTAATCGAGTCTACGTCTTGCCACCGCTGGGCACTTGCATAGAACATGTTCTGATGTTTCCTTCTTCTCATGACAGAATCGACAGGAGTCACTTTCTACCACAATAACTAATTAATTAATTTAATTATTATTTAATTGTAAATCAAAGCGCAGGCGGTAACACAAAACACACAATGGTATAAAGAAAATCAATGTATAGTATTTGGTGCAATTTAATATGCTCGGTCTACAATGGCTAAAAACAACACCATTATCAAAAATCCCGATTTGAAAAACTATTACATGTGTCGATGAAACTTGAAATAAAGCGCCGAAGGACTAGTATGGATAGGTCTCAATTTCGAATAAAAATCGAAATCGAAAGCAGATTACTAAAGATTTAATTTCCAAACTTCTCTGGACTAGATTTAAATTCATTATAAATAACGATGAGATATTCGACCAAACCAGCACTGATTCCGAAAGCTGTTTCGAAAAGAAAAAGAATTCTTAAAAAACCGCGTTAGAAAAGCTTGAAAATTAAGTTCATATGATAGTTTTTTAACGATATGTGTAAGTAACCCAGAATGTCCGCCACAAACGATCAGTTTGGTGGAAAGCTTATTCATGGATTTTGCAACACGATAATACATTATCACACACAGTTATAAGTATAAGAATTTTTGACAAAAAAAATTTTAAATGATTAGATTATAAAAGTTGATAATGGTTAGTCAAGAATTTCACTTTTTTTTTGTATTTTCTGTACGTGGTATTTATATGCATATACATATATAATTATATATATATTAATGTTACGGAAATTCAAAAAGCTATTTTTGGATATAGCCAGGCAATGATGTTTAATTGTTTTGTAAATCTTTGACATTTTGCATGCGAGATTAAAGCCGTTCTCTTCTAAGAACTAATCGACTAATTTTAAGCAGCGCTAAAAAATTTTTTTGTGAATTTAGTTAACTCAATTTAGTTCATCTCGCACACAGCCTTTAGAAATTTTTTGGAAACCAACATATTGGAGTGTTTCTTCATATTTTATACCGTCTGTTTATCCAGTTGGCTGTAGATTTCCTTTAAGATACGTTTTATAATATAGCATTTTCCAAATTAATGAATACAAATCCTTACTAAATCATCTATTTTAGTTGTTTATAAAATGATTATATTTTTATATATAACATATTTATATCTTAAAATAATTAAACAATTTCACATCACGTATGTATTGCTATAAACTCTTTTGAACATGGAAAGCTTCCATTATATTTACTTTCTGTAAAGTCCTTAGAAAGCTTTCTCAAATATCCTTTAAAAGTTCTAAAAAGTTTTTTAAAGCTTAGTGACTACTTTGGTTAATATAACTGAAAGCTTCTCATATTTAACTTTCGTTTGTAAAAATTTTTTTTTTTTTATTTCTGTACCATTTGGACCATAAATCCTTTTTTCCTTAAAAGTGTTAATATATAGTAAGTACTTTCCGGTAACCTTTAACGATTCTGAAGTGCCTTGTTACACATACTAAACTGTGCTAATAGGTTAGCCTTACACTCGCTTTTACTAAGGTGTCAATAAGCGACTCAATAGTTTAACTATTATACCTAAATGAGATAGCAGTTATTTTATTATATGCATAAATAGGTATGAACTCGTAATTTAGATATTTAGATTGAATATCACTAAAACAATGCTTTAAGAGCTTCCAAGCTACGTTAAAATTAATGCAATTGAGATGAGAATAAATAATGTGTGTCATTTGGTTAATGAATGTAGGTCAATTAATAAATAAAAATCTTAAATCATCCAAATATAAAGGGTATTTTTTTTCGATGTCGCAGGCCGCATAATCAAACTATTCTTATGGACATTGCCATGACCAACTAATGAGTTGTTAAGTCTGGCATCTATAATTAGCTTACAGCTGTTCCTTGGAATTTTATGCTATATCTTACTTTTAGCTCAACTCTATTTAGAGAGCATATGTATACAAATATGTGGACGATTTTGCTTTATCACACCCAAATGAATCCGCGAAATTGGATGTTATCTGCTTTCGGTTTCAAAAATTAATTGTTTACAACGCGGTTCCATAGTAGAGGGAACAGAATCCCGTCTTGCGCTTGCATAAAGACCTAACTGTTGATTGTAGGCTGGTATTACTAAAAACGGGTCCTTTATTAATTAAGGTTATTACTTGTACCAAAAAAAATAATTAGATATATATTAGTCGTATTCCATCAGGAACATAGATGATACATACATCTCCAGTTGTCTCTATCTCTGGCTAAATTCCGTAGTTCGTAGTATCAGTTTCGGTGTATATGGTTCGTCTCCAAGTCGTTTTTGGCCGGCACCTCCTCCTGGTTCTTTGGGGGTTGCACTTTAGTGTGGCGTAACATATTTCATAGTAGTTCTTCCTTAAAGTATGTCCTAGCCAGTGTAATTTGTGCCTCTTAATTTGCATATTAATATCCTCTTGGTCAGTTACGCTATTAAGCGTAAGCGTATTAAGCTCTTCATTTAAGAGGGTTCTTGGCCACTCCGAAGGTATCGGTTATAAAAACTCTGTGATTTATATTTGATGTTATTGCTTACCAGCCAAGTTGTTGAGTTATAAAAAAATAATTAGATAGAATATCCATTAACCAATTAGTGTTAAGGGATCTTCGTGCACGGAAGTTTATTAATATTTTCAGATTAATAATACTAGAGATCAGCGAATGTAATACTATTAGAGTCCAGTCATTTGAGGTAAGTACTGTTTTTATATTTTCGTTTCTAATAAAAAGTGGTTATCACTATAGATACTAAATATCTGCTTCTTGCAAGACTTAGTTTTCTCCGACTAGCACAATGTCATCAAGTTTATGATAGACGAAATATTAATGCTGCCGAAGTTACTTTGAACTGATAAAAATCTCTAAATTTTCTTCATCATTGTGGATTGTCTGGGCTAGATAGATGCAATTGTTTTTTATTATAAAAATCCCTTTTTAAACAAAATCTAGCTCTCCCTGAGTGACTTCGCTGTCAACATAACAGTTTTAATATATTTAGAAAAATCTTTGGTTGTGCTACTTATGTTAATGGAGCAGGAGTGCAAGCCTTTCTTTTGGCATCTAGGTTCAAACTTTTTGATTTTTTAAAAACTTATACATACCTACAATTTGATGGCAACAAATTTAGAAAACAGAATGACGTCCTGTGAGCAGTTTCTTTCCGTTGAACTCATTCATTTAATTTGAAGGTAATAAAATGGCAATGTATTTAAAACAAAAATAAGCATTCATAATACCTTCATAACAAGGACTCAAAATCCGTCAGTCCATCCAGTTTGCTGGTTAAAATACCCTATATTTTAACCAGCAAAGTGCAAATTTGAAAGTTGGTTAAAGCTTCTGACAATTATTTCAACAAATGTTTATTTATTGTTCGCTACCAAGAATTTGTATTTTACCTGCCCACTACAATATTGATTGGTTTAAGTTAAACATTAACTAGAATAATTATAAGGTTAGCAAAAATTTTCAGAAGTGTTTTTATGACTACCCCCACAGAAACTTAAAGTCACAGTATTAAAGGATAATATATATACTAAGTTTATAATAATAGGACAGGAAAGCAAAAATCTGAAAAGCTTATTTATATCACTATCATATTTCAAGAATTGGTCGCTGAAGCTTTCAACATTTTTAACATATGTCAGCGAATCCACTATTTTAATATGTCGATAGGTAATACCACATAATTCGATCTTTATTCTTCAATTTAATGAATAAAAATCATTAAAGTTTCCAACGGCTTTTATCAATTCTCTTTGTATACGCTATGATCTGCTAAAGATCTTCTTTTTCTTTCTAAAGGTTGTTTCCTTGCTCAAAGTTTTTCATCTCAATCTTTCTCTCCTATCTTATCTCACCTCTCATACATATACTTTTCTTACTTGCACCTGAAAATTTATCATAGTTTTGATGAAAGATTCTACGATTAAAATATTTATAAATTTATTCTTTTTATCTGGATGTATATCTATTCGTCCCTCCACTTTTCTCAGTTCGTATTAAAACTCTTTATATTTTCCCAGCTCTTTTCGAATCTC